GGGCGGCCTCAGTCCTGGGAACAGTGACCAGGGGCACACCTGGCTCTGCCTTTCCCTGGGAGGCGCTGTGCTCAGACGGATGCTTTCTTCGGGAAGATGAAAGGGTCATCAGCAGGGCAGTCTGCAGGGCCAGCCCTCCCTCTCCCAGGCCTGGGTTTCTGGAGTCACGTGGATGTGGGAAGGGCTGGGGTGTGGAGACAGAACTCCTGGGCAGTCCATCTGAGAGGCCACAGGCAGCTGTCTGCATCAGTGGCTCAGAGGGGGAATGACTGCAAGTTGTTCCTTAGCTCCTTGCTCAGGCCCCGGGGAAGGAGTGTTCTTGGAGGACTTTATCAGTAGGCATTTTCCAGGCAGACCCCTAGGTGTCCTGCAGTGGGGTGAGCACCCATGAGCTCCCTGTGCCAAAGCCCATCACCACTCCTTGCCTGGGTCCCTGATGGCTGGCACCTCCCCAGGTTACAGTCCAAGTGCAGGGCCAGGAGATGCTATCAGAGAAGACAGAGCCCTCCAGCTTCCAGCCCCAGACTCCAGAGCCTGGGCCAGATATACCCCCTGGAGCCATGCAGGAGTCACCTCTGGGCCTTCAGATGAAAGAGGAGCAAGAGGTCACAGAAGATCCAGGTGAGAACAGGAGGGGTGGGCAGGATGCAAGCCCAGACTTGGGCGGCAAGGCCTAGCTGGGTGAACTGAGGTGGCCTGGCCTGAGTAGCTGAAGCCCAATCAGCCAGGCCCCAACCAGACTAGCAGTTCCCACATGCTGGCAATCCCCACAGCATGTCCCAACAGGTGTCCACTCCAGCCCAGCCAGTGACTGTCACTGTCCCCCACACTGTAGGCCTGACACAGCATGTTTCCATGGCTCTCCCCCTGGCATGGAGTGGGCTGCTGGCACATGGGTTCACTTTCCAAGGAGATCCATTTCTTGGTGGACACAAGCCGGCAGCTGGGAAGCAGACAGCGCAGGCTCAAGTGTGGATCCTGCCAGTGCTGGGAGGGCGTGCCCCTGTCCCACTCACCGTGCTCACCTCTGGGGCGGGGCACAGGAGCCAGCTGCCCACTCTTTCCAATATTCCTGCACTGGACCCTTGTGCAGTACCCATCAGCCCTACTCCCATTGGCTTCCCTGCCAGGGGTGCAGGAGTCCCAACCTGAGTCCATCTATCCCACCACAGCTCCACCCGTGGCCTTCCAGGGGGCCCCGCCCTACCCCACCCCCAAGCCAGGTCCTCAGAGCTTCCCAGCCCTGACTTCCCAGGCACCAAGCCCACACCCCAGCCTTCTGTCTAAATCCCTTCTCCAGGAAGCTTCTCGGCCCTCTTCCCCTGGGTGGGCCATCCATGCCCACATTTGTCCCTCTCCCCGCCACTCCTGGCACACCACTGAGGAGGGCAGGGGGTCAGGAATGCCCTTGGGGCGGCCTAACTCCATCTTCCTCCTCAGCACTCCTGGAGTCTGAGCCCCTTGCTGCCACCCAGAAGGCCATGCCTGCCCTCCTGCCTAAGCAGTCCCAGGTGAGCTCCCAATGCCAGCATGCCCTTCTTCCTTGCCCCGGGAGTCACAGTGGGTGGGCAGTCAGTTAGGGCCCTCCCTGGGCCCAGCCCAGCCAGACAGGGATGAGCTGTAACCACTGTGTTTTCAGGTTTGTGAGACAGCGCTGCACCAGGTGTCTCCCCACAGTGAGGCCACGCCTAAGGGGCCTTTGTGGCAGGAACACCCAGGGGCTCTATGGCACGAAGAAGCTGGTGGTATCTTCTCCCCAGGTAAGTAAGATGGAGCATGGTGGGGGTGGGGCCACTGAGCACCCCTAGCCCTTCTCGTGGACAGTATGACGTCCACTCTTGACCCCACTTAGGTTCCCTGGACCATCCCGTGCAGCATTCAGTCCACTCCAGCATCTCCTGTTCTGAAAATCCAACTCCTTCCCTCACCCCACAGCCCCTCCAGCTACTGCTTTATGCCACAGTAAAACCTCCCAAGAGCCAAGACTATTCCTCGTGTCCATGTCCTCTGTCTACCCCAGGAACCCTGTATGGTCTCCAGACTCTGGGTTTGCATCTTGTTTATTGCAGAGTGAGGCAGGGTGGGCAAGAACAGAACAGGTTAGTAGACACGGTGGGTGGGTGGGCAGGAGCAACCTTGGCACAGGATTGGAACTGGACAAGGTCAGAGCAGGTTAGAAGATAAGGCAGGTGGTTGGGAACAATCTTGACACAGTATGAGGATAATGGAGATTGGATAAGGACAGAGCAGGTCAAAAACAGGGCAGGTCCTCATCTTTTGCTTCCTGGATCCCGAGACTCCTCTTTCTTGTCTTACTCCTCATTTTGGTTTATCTCCTAAGTGGAGGTAAGATTCCGACACATACATATGAAGCACATTTGTCTAATCCTCATGTTGGATTGACAGTTTGGCTAGATGAAGAATTCTTTTTATTGACTCAATTCCAAACATTTATGTCACCTTTGCTGGTGAGCCCTTTCAGGCTGAAATTCACATCTGTCAGTTCTGGGAAGTTGCCTTGAATTGTTTCTTTATTTCCTTTCATTGCTGTTTTCTCTGTCATGAACAACTGTCATTGGGCCATTGGGTCTCTGGGGTGGGTCCTCTAATGTTCTTTTCATCCCTTTGTCTTTCTTTACTTTCCAGGAAATTTCCTCAATTTTATTTTCCAGACCTTCTGTTGAGATTTTCATTTATGCTAGCATAGGTTTAATATTCAAGAGCACATTTTTCTTCTCTGAATGTTCCTTTTTATAGTAGCTTCCTGTTGTTCTTTCAGTTGTAATGCTTCTCATTATTTCTCTGAGAATAGTTATTTGCTTTTAAGTTTTCTTTTCCCAATGTGGTCTCTGTTCCCTCCAATTTATCTGCTTATATTTGAGAGGAGCACCAAAAATCTGGTTGCAGCTCTGAGAAGATGGTTGAGGGGCTTGTCATCTGTGACAACAAACCAAGGGTAGGAGGGACGTGGGTTACTTCCCAAGGAGATCCACTTTGAGGACATGAGGGGGCAGCTGGAATGTGAGTGGTCACTGCAGAGGGATCCATAGGGTGATCTAACTGGAATGTTTTGGGGTACCCCCTCCACCTGTGCATCTTCAGATCCTTTCTCTTGGGTGGGTCTGAGTCCTCCAAGAAGGTGCTTCTACCCTCTTGCCAGCATCCTGGGAACCGAGTGGAGGAGAGGCTACCATCTCAGCACCCAATGTGACTGTTCACTTAATCATCCTGATTTTCTCAGTAAAGTTTCTCACCTTCAGCCCAGTCTTTTGCCACGATGGAAGATGAGATCCTGGCATCAGAAGCACAGCAGTGCACACCTGTAGCCAGTACTGTTTGCTCAGAGTCCTATGCACAGCGCAAGCAGAGCTGCGTGGTGAAGCAGCCCCACCCAGCCCGTGCTCCTGAAACAGCCTCCCCAGCCTGTTGTATGCTGCTCCTTCACCTACATGTCCAGAGTACCTGGCCCCTCCCACTCCTGAGCTTTTAGAGGCCTCTTGAGGGTAAAACATGTCGATTTTCTTTTTTTTTTTTTTTTTCAGCTGTCCTACTGCTGATTTAGTATTTTCTCAGATCTGTTGAACCAGTTACCATTTGCCTGTCCACTTTCCAGAGTAGAAAATTTCAGGGTTGTTTGTTTCTTTTCCTCTTCTCCCCACCTCTGTGTATTTTATGCCTTAAGAAAAGGAAAATAAAAAACTGTTGTAGTTTTTACTGGAGTTTCAAGGTGGAACATTTATCAAAAATTTAGATAGATGCCACTGTTACCCCAGGTTCCCATTTGCTATGTTTTTTTATCACTAAGGATCCTAACTCATCCTTTTTTTCCCAGTGTCCTTGTTTCATAGATGCTGATCCCTCCTTGCAGGATTTGGAAAACTGCAGAGTCTTCCTTTTCAGATTAGTCGTTAGCTCTATTTTCTTGGGTGGTCAATTCTCCCACTGGTTGCACTGTCTAGGGTCCTTCCCAGACTGGTCAGTTAGCCCAGTTTTCTCGGGTATACATTTTCCCACTGGTTATACTGTCAACTGCCTGCCCTCCCAGCCAAAGGCAAGCAGCTTATTCCTGGCTAAGTCTGTAGGTGGACTGGGCTAACCCAGCCCCCATTCTTGGCCCCAGCTTTCATGACTAGGCCAGCTCCTGTCCCTGGGTCTTCAAAGCCTTAGGATTTCTGTAGAGTTCACTGCACCAGGCTCTTGGTTCTCAAACCTCACTGACTATCCTTTCTTGTTTTGGAGATATCCAAGGTATTTTTTAAGTCTTTCCTGTATTTTGTCTGTCGTTTCTATGTGTTGGAGCAGAGGGTGGGATCCAGCAATGCCCTCTGTGCTGTCTCTATAGCCTTCTGCCAACCCAGCCCACCCTGCATGACTGACTACACCGTTCTGCTTGAATCTGCTTGTCTCTTAGTTTACAACCCACAGTCTTCTCAACTTTCTCCCAGCCTCACCATCAGGACCACCTTAGTCTCCTTGGCCAGTCCCTTCTCTGCAACCCCATTCTCTCTCCAGCTAGATGACTACAGCTCCTGGCTTCAAACACAGATTCCCCTTGGCCACCTTGGACTCTCCATCAGGTCACCCGGCTGCTGTCCTTGCTCCCCAACATCCATCTTCTGCACAGCCAGAAACATCTGTTAATGTTTTCATCATGAGAAGTATATATGAACAGTTACTGCATTCACATGTTTGAAAATTCAAAAAGCACAAGGTAGTATAGAATGGAATGATTCCCTCCCTTGTCTAGGCCATTCAGTCCTGCTCCCCAACAGCCAACAATACCAGTTTCTTACATGTCCTTCCAGAAGATTGTGTGTGTTGCATAAAGGAACAAACACACATATTGATGCATACTCATTTTCCTTTTTAAAACACATGGATTGTTTATCTGTCCAGGCTCCTACTGGTATTCCTTTGGATTGCTTCTCAGTGACGCTATGAGGAACTTCGTACATTGGTCATTTAGCACATGGGAGAACGTGACTGTTATAGATATACCTAAAAATGGAATTGCTGGGTCAAAGTGCAGGGCATTTGTCATTCTGGATTTTGCCACACTGGCCTCCCATTTACACTCATTGTAAATGCATGTGAACACTTGTTCCCTGCAACGTGGGAGTAGAAAATGGTGGGCAGGTAGAGCTCCAATATGCATTTTTCTTATTAGGAGGGTGTAAAAATGGCATAGTGAGTCCTGTGACCTGTACTTCACAAGGGGGGAAGGAGAATCATTATCAGCATCAGCAGCCCAAGTCTGATTCCTGTGAGGCAGAGGTCAGACATGCATCCAACATCAAACCTTTTTACCAATTCTCACACCAAGTCTCTACTTCGCTGCTGGGTTCAATAACTCATTGTAATGGCCATACAGAATTCACAGACCATACTCACAGTATGAGGTCTATTAGGGAAGTAACAGGTTACAATTCAGGTTTAGGAACACTCAGGATACAGCTCTTCAATCAGGACAGCTTTTTAGCTATGCTACAGGCAGGCCTCTCTCTGGCCCCTGGTGCCTTGGACCTCTTGGGCCAGCCCAGCCTCTGCCCTTCTCAGGCAAAGGGTACAAAGCTCTTTTATCTCCCCTGCCAAGTGCTCAGAGGTACCCCATTCCACCAGAAAACTTCCTGCCCAAAGGCACTCAACTTTCTCGCTCTGTGGGCCGGGAAGCCCACCAAGCCATCTCCTGTCAGTCTGTTGGTTCTACTGCTGCTCTTTCTCTGCTGCTGCTTCTTGCTGTCTTCAGTGTTACAGCTCTCTGTCTGTCTCCTGGGTCTAGGAGGGTCTCAGCACAGGGATCCTTCCATCTCTTCTTCTTGGTGGTAGTCAGGTCCCTCCTTTCTGCCTCTGGGATGCTTCATTTTAAGCCTAGCAGGATGGCAAAACTGACCAATGCCCTCATTAGGGTTCGATATACCTTATTTGCATGGTCCCACCCCCACAAGGATACCCTGCACCTTATTGGTATTATTAGCAAGCTGTCCAATTTCCCTGGTAGGCCACAAGCACATTATTTGCATAGTCCCACCCATCATTTTATGGGAGTTACAAGGACTATGGCTAGGAGGACCATATTAAGTAATTCACTGCACTGCAGAGGAGGCTGAATATATTTTGTGAGATTTAAGCATTAGTTACATTTCCTTTCCTGTTCACATCTTTTGCCCATGTTTCTGTTACGTTGTTGGTCTTTCTTGTTGATTTGTTAGAGCTCTTTACTAATGAGGTTAATTAGCCCTTTGCTTCTGGTGAGATTTTCCAGTTTGTGTTTTAACTCTGTTTGAGGTCATTTTTGCGGTGCATAAATTATTTTCTTTGATGCGGTAGTATTTGACATCTCTTTCACAGTTTGTGGGTTTCTGTCACCCACTGCAGCCCTTTTTTATTCTCTTCATCTCCGTGATTTAAAATCCTCCAGCTTCCTCCTCCTTCAGCCGCTGATTCTCAGTTACCTTTGCTGTTTCCTCCTCCTTCACCCAGTATCTAATGCTGGAGTGCTCACAGTGTGACCAGGGACCCACTTCTCTCCTTTGTTGACACCATCCCATGTAGATTGTATGTAGACCCAGATATCCCTGTGCCATGTATACACGAAAGTACCCACACTCGTATCTTCCTGCAGAGTGTGCCCCTGAACCCCCAAATTCGACACCTGCAACTTCTCTGTCCCTCGGATGCCTTGAGCACATCTCAAGCACGGCGTGTCGGAACCTCAGACCAGAGTCCTGGGGAGGAGCCTGCATTCCCGGCCTCCCGTCACCCCCACCCCAGCCTGCTGGCTCCAGCCTTCCTTAGACCTGCCCACTTTTCTGCATTTGCAGAAAACACCATCATGTAACTAGACAACTGCAGAGCCCACCATGACCCTTACAGAAAGAGGAATTTTGTGAACCTGAGTTAGATCCAGAAAGCTGGGCCCTAGGTTTTCACACAGCCCACTCACCGTCCTCATTAAGGGCTCTGTCCTATTGTGACATCCTCAAAGAGAGCTACACAGATAAAGAGCCCCTGTCCTTGCCCTTGTCACCTCTGCCCCCCTGGGATGTGTCTAGTTCACACTATATCAGAAGGGCTTAGATCCCCAAACACAGTAGGTGCTCTGTAATAAGCGAGTGAGTGGATACCTTTGTGCCACGCAGGGTTTGCTCTCCGGATGGACGGTGTCCCTGCAGGCCCAGTCACCGTAAGCCCCCATCTCCACGTACCCTGGGACCTCAGAGTGGCCGGCCTCACAGGCCGGATCCCGTCACCCTCCCCCGAAAGTGGCCTTGCGCACGCGTTTGTGCTCCCCAGTGACCCGGGAGGTGAGCAGGAGCCAGGGGGTGAGGACTCCAGCGAGGGTGCCGGACCCCCGCCGGCCACCGCACTGTGGCGGGCCCCCAGGGGCCGCGGCCGGGGCCACCCTAGCACGGGCACTGGCACTGGGCGGGGCGGCCGCTGCGACGTGTGCGGCAAGGTGTTCAGCCAGCGCAGCAACTTGCTGCGGCACCAGAAGATCCACACTGGCGAGCGGCCATTCGTGTGTGGCGAGTGCAGCCGCAGCTTCAGCCGCAGCTCACACCTGCTTCGCCACCAGCTCACGCACACCGAGGAGCGGCCGTTCGTGTGCGGCGACTGTGGTCAGGGCTTCGTGCGCAACGCGCGCCTGGAAGAGCACCGGCGCGTGCACACGGGCGAACAGCCCTTCCGCTGCACGGAGTGCGGCCAGAGCTTCCGGCAGCGCTCCAACCTGCTGCAACACCAGCGCATCCACGGCGACCCTCCCGGCCCCGGCGCCGCGCTCCCCACGCCGCCCAGCGCGCCTGAGCCCCCGGGGCCCTTCCCCTGCAGCGAATGCCGCGAGAGCTTCGCGCAGCGCGCCGTGCTGCTGGAGCACCAGGCAGTGCACACAGGCGACAAGTCATTCAGCTGCGTGGAGTGCGGCGAGCGCTTCGGCCGCCGCTCAGTACTGCTGCAGCACCGGCGCATGCATAGCAGCGACCGGCCCTTCGCCTGCGCCGAGTGCGGCCAGAGCTTCCGGCAGCGCTCAAACCTCACACAGCACCTGCGCATCCACACGGGCGAGCGGCCCTTCGCCTGCGCGGAGTGCGGCAAGGCCTTCCGCCAGCGGCCCACACTCACGCAGCATCTGCGCGTACACACGGGCGAGAAACCCTTTGCATGCCCCGAGTGCGGCCAGCGCTTCAGCCAGCGCCTCAAGCTCACGCGCCACCAGCGGACGCATACTGGGGAGAAGCCCTACCACTGCAGCGAGTGTGGCCTGGGCTTCACCCAAGTCTCTCGGCTCACCGAGCACCAGCGCATCCACACGGGAGAGCGGCCCTTCGCCTGCCCTGAGTGTGGCCAGAGCTTTCGGCAGCATGCCAACCTAACGCAGCACCTGCGCATCCACACAGGCGAGCGACCCTACGCATGCCCAGAGTGCGGCAAGGCCTTCCGCCAGCGGCCCACACTCACACAGCACTTGCGTACCCACCGACGTGAAAAGCCCTTTGCCTGCCAGGACTGCGGCCGCCGATTCCACCAGAGCACCAAGTTCATCCAGCACCAGCGTGTCCACAGTGCAGAGTAACCCAGCCCGCAAACAGGGCTCTCCTCTCTGCGACTCAGTTGTTCTTCTGTCCATGGGGGTAGGACACCTACCTCACAGGGTTGCTGTGAGGCCAGCTAGAGCATGGGTACAAGTTTAGGTACGAGAAGGCCCACCCAGGGCCTGGCCCCAGTAGGTGCTCAATAAAGCCAAATGAAAATTGGGTCTCCACCCCCATAGTCCTGTCCTCTGCACCCACATGGTTCCTCTGAAGGCCATAGCCCCGAAAAGGTGGAGATGGCTGCTATTGTCACCTTCCCCCACCTGTGCAGTCACCCCTGGAACCAGGGTCCCACCTGCAATTCTAGCTTAAGAAGGGTGAACAGCCCAGAAATGGTGGGGTGAAGAGGGAGGTAGAAGAGTAGTCCGGCTTCAGCTCTGCATAGGCACCAGCCCTCAATCTCCCAAACCCACAGAAGAGGAAATGTACCATGTGAGCACCTACTGAGAGTCTGCATGTGCCAAATGTGGTGCCACTTCTGGCCCTTGTCAGTCAGGGTTCAGTCAGCAGACAAAGCCATAGCAAGTGTTTTTATAACAGTGAATTTCATATCAAGAATCACCAACTAGGTATTGGGTTATTGATAAGTAACTGAAAAGAGTTTAAAAAAAAAAAAGAAAAAACTAAGCTGTTGTAGAGGTAACTGCAGGGAGCAGCCGCATTCCTAGGGCTGGAGGAACAAAGGAAAGTATTGTAACTTAGATGCTTCAGTGAGTTCTTCATGGAGCTCAAACTCAGGCCCTTGAGGAGGAGGTGGCCCCATGGGCCTAGGATGAGACCCTTGAGGAGCGGGCACTGATATGTGTGTTTCTGAGGGGTCTGATGAATCTGGTTCTGGGAAGTGTGGAGAGAGCCTGGTACCAAATGATGTCTCTGGAAGGACCTGCTATGGCCAGGGGGAAAAGGCATTCTGGCTGCCTAACAGGGGGGATGGAGTTCCTTCTCCCTTTCTATCCCCTGTAGTGCCCAGACCCTAATGAGGAGCTGCTGGCCAAGAGGGGTGTGTTTCTGGAGTCCCAACCCTGTGCTGAGATGCCAAGGTGGTCAGATCTGGAGCACAAATGTAGGAACTTAACAGGCAGCCCGGTATTGAAGCCAGGGGACGCTGGGGCAGTTCCAATCATGTTGACCTCACACCTGAGCTCTTTGAGACCTCTGGGCCCCCATCTTCACCCTCACATCTTCCCAGCACTCAGTCTTAGAAAAGATGGTTAAGTGCTGAGGCTGGGACAATCTGAGGACTAAAGGCTCAGTTGGGAGGCAACAGCTTGGAAGGCCTCTGCAGCCCTGGCTTTGGGGAAACGGACCTTTGGGGGACAAGAAAGGTGGCTCTAGACAGTTCTGGGACTCAGCATTGAAAACAGAGGAGAAAGGCCAACGGGATAGCCACAGCAGGGACCACTGGGATCAGTCCAAGGGCCCAAAGCCGCCAAGGGGTGCCCAGGCACACCTAGGACAGGAACCCTGAGTAGGTGGGGGCAGGAGTGGATGCAGGCAGGAGTTCGAGGAGGTGGAGGCGGCTCCACCGAGGTGAGGACAGGGAGTCAGTGTGGATGCCAGACCAGGGTCTAAGCAGGCACTAGGGGTGAGGGGTGTGGGGGCAGCTCCCCGAGGTGAGGATGGCGGACCAGGACCGGGGTCGATTTCTGGCCAGAGAGGAGGGGAGAGGTCCGTGAGCACACCATTCGACCACACCACGGCTACCCGCCGCCGGACTGCATCTCCCACAATGTTCCGATCGGTGATGCGCTCCCGAAGCTGCCTTCGGACGCGGAAGATCAGCCTTGGCCACCCACTCCAACACACCTCCCAGCCCCGGCGGAGCCTAGCGGCGCGTCTCACCCACTAGTTTCCTCGGCGACCTCGCGGTTGCCGCGGTGACGGCCGGAGATCGCAGAACCGCCCCGCGCCATTTCCTCCCGCCCTCTGAGGGACGCTAGGCTGTGATTGGAGAGGACGATGACCCGTACACAACGCCCACCACTGACAGCAAGGAAGGGACGTCAAAGGCCGCAGTGCGCCTGCGCTGGAGATGAGCCTGCGCCAGCCCCGCTCCTCCCCTCGCCCCAGTCCACCCGCGAGTCTTCCCTGACCATCCCTGACAATATCCATAGTGCTTACCGGTCTCTACCACCATACACGTTTTATTTGTTAGTTGACTTCAGCCAAAACGTCCATGAATAGGGGTCTTTGGGTTTGCGATGGGACACTAAGGGTGCTCGACCCCACACTCTCTTGGGAAGGCCCCCAGCCTGACCCAGGCTCTGGTTGGCGCGATCACCTAGTTTCTGTACATGACATCCGGGAACAGAGACATCGTCTCACCCACACCTGCGGCTCTCTACACGCGTGCAAGTGAGGATGCTCCACGCTCGTGCACAAGTGGGGATGGCCGCAAAGCGAGCGAGGGGGCAAGCATCTGCCCCATTCAAAGATGGCGGGGACACCTCCAATCCGGGCCGACGACTGTCTCCGGAGGTGTTCGCGGCACCGCGGTCCTCGTCTACAGCCTCCAGGAACGGAAATACCCGAGCCCAGCCGAAGGAGCCCGAACTCCAAACCCCCCTGAGTAACGCGATTCGCCGAAGCAGCGGCAGCGGCTGCGCAGGCGCAGCACAGACCGGGCGGGAACAGCCGAAGCCGGGAGGCGGCGGAAATACCCGAAGTGGCGGGGCGCCCGAGGCCGTTGCCGACCTCCGCTTCGAACCCGCTGCTGCCGCCGGAGCGGAACCTCTTCCAGGACACGTCCGCCGCCACCGCGACCGCTGCCTCCTCCTTCCACCCCGAACCGCAGCGCCCTCACGAAAGGAGCAAGTAAGCGAGCGAGCGGTACAGCTCAAGGAGCACCGCGTCCGCACCCGCAGCTGGGCCTGAAGAGACTGGAGCCGGCGAGGGGGAGGAGGGAGCGGCGTGGTGGGGGCGGGGCCAAGCGCAGCCCGAGAACAGCCGAGTCGAGCCGAGAACAGCCGAGTCGACCCGAGCGCTCCCGAGGAGGCCGACCAGGCCAGAGCCGGACTACGGGAGCCGAAGCGGGCCGCTCGGTGGGCGCGGAGCAGCGCGGCGAGCCGGGCGGGCGGCGGC